GGTAAAGACAGCCATGCTTTGCTGAAACCTGCGATCTCTCCGTAAGGCCTTACGTAATTATCTTTCTTTGTGTTATTCTGTATGTATTCATTTTGCATTGGAAATCATTGGACTTATTATCTTCCAAATTAAACTTGTGTTAATCTTAATTTCCTGCTCTTCATCTGTTCTTTCTCACGACATCCGGACTGGGTGAGGTTGAGGCCGCAAGGATATCAGTGATAGCAATATTTTACCTCAACAGGCGACAGAAAACAAAGGACTAGACCAGGTAATAGAACAAAAACACAAGCAGGTATGACAGCTGGTGAAAGACTGTCCACTCTACCTTGATTGGAATGGTGTTTTCTTAAATCAGAATGCCCCGTTTTTAAGGTCTATGAATTGCTTGATAAGTATTTAAAGGGGGTTGACAAGATGATTTAGCACTAAACTTCATATGCACCGCATCTCTACCTAACCTCTCATCTAGTAGATGTGTTATTTTTTAGTATTCTAAACAACAACAATATACCGTAAATTCTGGACTACAGAGCACTCTAATTTTAGAAAGAAAACCAATTTTGTACTTGTACTGGCCGCACCGGATGTTAAGCCACAGGTGTCCCACGTAATACGATTTGCACAGAAAGATATTACACGTGAAGAATTTTTAACTTTTAACTTAATCCGTATGGTAATATATGCTAACACAGCTACCTTTAAATATACGTACGTTATCAGTAACACAAAAATTTCGTTGCTAATGCTTTTTTACTGAACAGTGCACGAACAACATTCCAATATCTCCTAACGACTGATGTACACTGCAGCCTACCAGGTCAAAAGTCATTGATCGCCTCCTTCATCTTCTTCCTGCGCACTGAAACCATCAAAGTCCTGTTCTTAAGTGTCCTAATTGAACAGCCTCAGGATCTCGTCACTCACTTCAGCCTCTTCGTTGTCGCTCTCACTTGAGCGCACCCGGTCCCCTTAATCACGCAGCAGTCCAGCTTTTCAAAACCCGTTGGTGATTTTCCATGTTGATGAGGGTGAATATAAATGTCTGAGTTACAATACCGGTAATTGAATTGTGAAAATGCTCTTGATTTATCGCACAAGTTCATTGGACCTCTTTGAACTACTCATCAATGTGATTGGTCTACTGTTACCAGGCAAAATGTTTTTGGTGGCATGTAAAAAAACATGCATTAGCCGCACCGTTGTATAGGCCGCAGTGTTCAGTGTGGGAAAAAAGTAGCGGCTTATAATCCAGAATTTACGGTAATAATAAATCCAGTTCCTGAGATTAAATGATGAGTTTATAAGAATAAGGATACACACGTTTTAGTAAGTTAAACTGAAACTCCACAGGCTGGGAGTCGAACCCAGGAACTTCTCTGTGAAAGACAACAGTGCTACAAACTGCACCACCGTGCAGACTGTTACTTGAACATTTCCATTCCAATATCCTAAACATTCAAAAAGACTATTTCAAAGTATAAATGCGGTTGATGACACTATCATTACCATCAACAGATAAAACACGTTCTTTATTCTTCATTCTACCTGGGTTATTTGGCTGGAAGGCGTGGTAAGCGTATTCGTCACTTCCTGTTTTCGCTGTTGCACTCGGTGGATTGGTGTGTAAAGGCTCTCTCGTTTGATCTGATTTCTCTCTACTGTGATATCTCTTACTTGTTCTAATACATAAGCATGTTAAAACACATACTTTCTGTTGCTGCATTTAACGTTTGGGGACTCTCCGTGTCTTACA